GTGCAGTACTGAGTAGGTACAGCAGGGGGCAGTATTGGACCAATACAAGGCTACATTAACTCCCATTATAAATTACTAAACATTAATATTTCAAAAACTATAAGTTGTACAGGTACCAAAAGGCATAGCCATCATTTGGCACAGGAGCTTTACAGATATAAATTACAATGGCAGCTCTAGGACAAAGTATGCAGGAGGAGAAGCATGCCAAAGTGGAGATGACTTGGATGGGAAATGAATCACAATAGTGTRCATTGCCAATGCAATGCACACTGAATATTACAAGGCAAACTGCTGCATCAAATCAACTTGATGTGTATTAGAAAGTAAGGAAATTAAAACTATTTAAAAAACCATGTGGACATCTGTTTTGTAAACAAAGCTCCCCAACCAATGACAGCATGTTAAATGTGTCAAGTGACGAAGACGAGCGCTAAAACACTTTGCAACAAGCGCTATTCTGAATTAAAAAAAACATAGTTTGACGTTTCAAATATCCAATTTTGAACAAGGGCAAATAAAATAATGTTCTTCATGGCAGCTTATCTCTTTAAAGGCTCACTAGAAAAACTCAGGTGATTTACTTTGATCCCGTTTTCAAAAAACTGTCTCTTCAAAACGCATCAACAAAAATTTACAACTCAAAGACAAGGCTGTTGCTAACTACCTGATGTCGGCACGCTTTGTTGAAATTCGTAGAAATAATGAAGCAGGAGGAAATAAGCAAGCGCACAAAGCAGACTTGCAAAATCTGGACACAGCAGTTTGGGAAGAAGATGGCAGGCCTTTATTAGTCACAAGGTCTGTATTTTAAGACAAACTGAAGTGTCTCGTGCGCTCTTTTTCCAACTGTAGTCAGCCGTCATGTTATGGAAGGCAGGCAGGCATATGTCTAGCGCCCCGAGCTCAGGGGCTACCCGAGGTACAGTACTGAAGAGGTCAAAAGCAACAACCATATAAAACACAGGGTACTGAAATGACTGGTGTACTTGCACTCCCACCTTAAAGTTCCCTGTGACAGCCGACAACACAGAATGTGTGCAGCAGCTTCATGTCAGTTTACTGACCTTTAGGACAAGATATGGGCTATTGTTTATGTGTTGGGTGGCCATGTTTTTATAGTATATTATTATTACAATCTAAGAGCTGCCACAAATATATTATAAAACTATTTAATGGCACATTAAGTCTAACAACTGAAAACATGGATGAAATAAATGTGAAACAAATAAAATACATTGAAAACAGTTTTTTTAACAGAATTTTTGGTCTAAAAATAGCAATATATCACAATACATCGTCTTGCTTATAGTATCRCAATATATTATGATGCATCGTATCACAACCCTCGTCATGATGTGTGTTGTATTGACAAATTCTTGCCACAGCCCTATGAGCTAGGGAGCACAGTTTTTTTAGCATTTAGGAAAGCCTAGATTAGCTACAATCATAAAAATCTAAACGTAATACTAAAAAAAATAACAATATGAAGAAAAATATTTAATTTAAGAAATGGCCCCTAATTGAGCTGTCCCCAATTGTGGTCTTCAAGAGCCACTATCCTACAYGTTTTAGGAGTTTCTCTGCCTCAGCACAACTGATTTGAACGAATGAGTGATTAACATGCTTCTGCAGAACCTGAAGACCTGCTGAGGATTAAATTCCTGCTGTGCTTACCCTGTAACGAGAAGGCGGCCAGCTGCACCGCAGTGTCAAAYGGACATTCCAGCCTAAAAACGCAGAACAGAAAGTGTCAGAAACTGTCAATGCACCCCAGCCTCTTCCTGCAAAATATCTAATGGTGTCAATATTTTAATATCTATTCATTTGAAGAATATTGAATATATCAGTAATAAAAGAAGAGCAAAGGAGTAAAAACTGTACAATTTTTTTACACAACTTCCTCATGATTTGTGCACCGTAACTGACCCATCTTTGAAAACCACCACACAAACAGTTATTTCTCCTAACTTATCTCCTCGTGTCCACTTTACCCTTAACTCACCTCTAAACAATCAGATTGGATACGAGGTAAGAATTCACTGAACAAACATGAGCGCAAACCTGTTTGAGCTGCAAAAGCCACCATGAGTACTTTTTTATGAATAAGGGTTAAATCTGTCTTTTTAGATTTTTCTTCCCTTTTTTATTTATTTTTTTCTTGACTAAGAGCAGAAAAATCACATACTTGCCACTGAAGAGGTCTTGCTTTAACTGCAAAACAAACAGATATCTGAAAGAAACAAAAGATCATTTGGTTAAACTCTGAAGCAGATCATTAAATAWCATTTTATATTTTTGATTCATTACAGCACCAAATTTTAATGAACAGCTGCTTTTTCTGAGTCACACTCATGACCGTAAAAAGCTGTTTTATTAGAAACGCCGCTGATTTTCTCTGCTGCGAGGAGTTTATTAAAAGATTTGTGTGTCTCACCTGGTGAGTTCCTCGTGCAGGTTGTTCGGTTCTGAAGAGTAAAACTTGACTCTCATGTGAAGGCAGTACGGTGGGCCAACTAAAAGACAAAACAAATTATCAGCTCACAATTTCATTATTTAACTTTAACCCTTAATAATAAACAGAACAAAAACACCTTTCAGACCAGATCCAGAGTAAGCCAACAAAAACAAATGACTATTTCTTATAATTGACTTTTTGATGATTTCATGAAACTGTGAGCTTTATAAGATAATTTAATAAACAATTTAAGAAAAGTAAATTAACAAAAGTTTGTCTAAAACTTACTTTTGACTTGCTTTTTGATGCTTTTTGTGACGTCGAGCCAGTGCTGCAAAAACAAAAGTTAGTAATGGAAGACAACATACTTCAGCAAGTTTTACTCAMAAAATAAATATTAAAACCTGTTTTTATTGAGTACAATTACAGCAGATTTTACAGCAAAAAACAAACATTTCAAAAGCTGCTTAATAAAGGTTCTTTTTTATATTTAAGCAGCAGAAACCAACCTTTATCAGCTCTTCGGAGCTACAGTTTGTTCACATTATATAAAGGGTCTGCTGTTGCAAACTTCAAAGGTTTATGAATACTCCACAACTTACTCTGCCAACAAGTCCGAGATGACAAAACGACAAAGCAGTAAACGCAAAAGTAATGTTTAATAGTAAAACGACTGATATGAAGATTTCTAAACATCACGTTGTTTAAAAGGCAGGGTTAAAAATTGATTTAATCGATCTTCGATCTATTTCCAGGGTCAACATCAAACTCAAGGACTTTCCAGTACCAATTTCATCAAATTAAAGAACCACACGCAACAGCAATTACCTACTGCTATCACAGAATGTTACCAATAAACAGATTTAAAATCACGTAAATTCAATGAAAAACTGAACATAGAAGTTGTTGAGTCAGAAAAAAATGACGTCAGTTTACTGTAATCCTGTTACCCACCGCAACAAATGTAAGCTTATTTTTTTATTTAATTTTACAATTTTTTTTAAAGATGATGAAAATCAGTTGTGTGAATAGAGAATTTCAATCCCCAAAAAACATTCAAGGACTTTCAAGGACAAGTGTAATTTTTCGCTGTTTTCACAAACTTCCCAGGGCCTTGAAATCATTTTTTTTTTCAATTTCACAATCTTTCAAGGATTTCAAGGACCCGCGGGAACCCTCTATTTCGTTTAAATTTGGGAAAATAGATTCATTCGATGCACGAGATCAATTTTTATCACTCCTAACTTGCCGTATGTTAGCATCCGGTTGACGTTCAGCGTTAACGTTAGCTTCTGACAACAAGTGGTCTGGGGCAAAACAAAAGAAACTAAGGAATCGCTAACATTATCAACTGATTCTCAGCAGAACTTAGAAAACAAAGACCACGGCAACTTTGGTTTGGAAAGACTTCCTATCGTACGCTGTAGAGGAAAACGAGCAGCTCGTTCAGGTGCTCGAACCAAAACTAAACATCTGACTGAAACTGTTCTCATGTTTAAATGCGGCAAAGACGACGTTCTAACAAAATCGTTTAGTTTTGTTACAAACATAATTTTTAAACTTTAAGAAATGGCTTGATGAAATTCAGTAATGAAATACTGAAGTGGTATTATTTTTTTTCCCTTTTTTTTGTTTTAATAAGTTTTATTGAACGTAACAGAAAAATTACAAATATACAACTTTCATACACTTTAAAAGGCACAGTGTGTAGGATTTGTTGTTTTCAGCGACATCTAGTG